TGCTGGTGAGGCTGCTGCTCTAGGTGCTAGCGAGGCTGCTTCTCTAGGTGCTGGTGCGTGTGCTTCCTCAGGTGCTGGTGAGTCTGCGCTCTCATGTACTGCGTCGGCTTCGGCCACCCACACTTTCACGCTTGACTCGGGAGCTTCTCGCTCCTTCTTTCGAGACCGCACCACACTCACGCCGCTTGGTCGGCCAGTTGCAGTCTCTCTGGCAGACCCCTCTGGGGGTCCTGTCCTTGCTCACTTCTCCACTGTCCTCCCTTGTCCGACGGCCCCCTCTGGCACCCTGTCTGGTCTTTACCTCCCCTCGTTCTCTACGAACTTGGTGAGTGGTGCTGACCTGCAGGATGCGGGGGTTCAGCAGTTCACTCCTGCGAGTCAGCGGGTGACCCACTGCACGGACGCTCGGACAGGCCGACACCTGGCCACGTTTACACGTCGGCCGGGGTCGAGCCTGTACACACTGACCACTGAGTCTCCTCCAGTCACTGCGTCTGGTCAGGTAGCTGCGTCGGGTCAGGTGTTTGCTGTAGCGTCCAGGTCTGGTCCTGAGTCTGCCCCCTACTCGTGTCGTCTACTGTCTCACGAGACTCTCCTCTGGCACCACCGCCTTGGTCACCCCTCCCTGCTTCGTCTCCGAGGCATGGCCTCCCGTGTCCTTGTCTCTGGTCTTCCCCGGTCCCTCCCTCCCCTTCCTCCGGGGCCTGCCCCTGCCTGCGTCCCCTGTGTCGAGGGGCGACAGCGGGCAGCCCCTCACTCCTCCCAGTTTCCTCCGACAGAGGCCCCGCTGCAGACGCTTCACATGGACGTGTGGGGCCCGGCCCGCGTCCGTGGACAGGGTCACGAGCGCTACTTCCTGCTGGTGGTTGACGACTACTCGCGTTACACCACAGTCTTCCCCTTGCGCAGCAAGGGTGATGTCACTGAGGTGTTGATCGACTAGATCCGCGCAGCTCGTCTCCAGCCCAGGCAGAGCTTCGGCTCGGACTTTTCTGTTCTGCGTCTGCACTCTGACAGAGGCGGAGAGTTCTCCTCTGGCCTTCTGCGAGCCTACTGTCGTGCACGAGGCATCCGCCACACCTTCACGCTTCCGGACTCTCCACAGCAAAATGGGATTGCTGAGCGCCGCATTGGCATGGTCATGGACGTCGCCCGTACGTCCATGATGCATGCGGCTGCCCCCCATTTTCTGTGGCCGTTTGCGGTTCGGTACGCGGCGCATCAGATCAACCTTCAGCCCAGGGTCTCCATGCCGGAGACCTCCCCAGCTATACTGTGGACGGGGAAGGTTGGCGATGCGTCTGCGTTCCGTGTCTGGGAATCTCGGGCGTTTGTCCGCGACCTGTCTGCGGACAAGCAGTCCCCTCGTGCTGCTCCTTGCGTCTTCCTTGGCTTCCCCCTTGACGCGCCAGGGTGGCAGTTCTACCACCCCACCTCTCACCGTGTTCTGTCCTCCCAGGACCTCACGTTCGACGAGTTGGTCCCCTACTACCGTCTCTTCCCCTACCGCACTCCGTCCCTCCCCCCGCCACCGCTCTTCCTTGTGCTAGGTCCCCCCCGTTAGACCCCCTTCCCCCTCAGGGTCCTGCCCCTTCAGGTGTGTCCCAGGTAGACGCAGTTGAGCCTGTCGAGGTCGCTGGTGACTCTGGTGCTGCTGAGGGTGCTGTGCCTGGGGGTGCTGACTCCGGGGGTGCTGAGCGTTTGGGTGCTACGCCTGGGGGTGCTGAGACTGAGGGTACTACGACTGGGGGTGCTGAGCCTGGGGGTGTTGTGTCTGGGGGTGCTGAGCCTGAGGGTGCTGAGCTGGGGGGTGCTACGCCTGGGGGTGCTGAGCCTGGAGGTGCTGAGACTGGGGGTGCGGAGCCTGAGGGAGCTGGGCCTGCTCGTGTGGCGTCTAGCGGTGCTGTGCTTGTCGGTTCTCCGGGTGCTTCGTCTCGGCGGGAGCCACTCTCTCCACAGGAGCTGCGCGAGTGGTTTGCCCGGCGCTGGAGGCGTGCTGCTGGAGCTGGAGTTTCTTCGGCTGCTGAGGGTGCTGGTGTCGCGGGTCCCGGAGGTGCTCGTACTGGGAGTACTGGAGCTACTGGGCCTGCGGGTACTTCTGGAGCTGGAGCTACTGAGGGTGTTGGCGCTGAGGCTACTGCTGTCGGCCCTGGAGGCGGTCCTGCTGGGGGTGCTACTGGTGCTGCTGGAGGTACTGGAGCTGGAGGTGCTACTGGCGCTGGTGCTACCACTGGGGGTACTGGTGCTGTCCCTGCTGTGTCTGGAGTCGCCGCGCGGCCTTGGCCGTACTTCGTTCCGCTCCTTCAGCAGGTTCTTGGTCTCCCGCCTTCTACTGGTCCTCCTCCTCCCTTAGAGTGTCCACAGCCTGTCCCGTCGCAGTTACAGATACAGCCGGCCTCCCCACTGCCTGCTCCTTCTCCCTACACTGGTCCTACTGGAGGTCTTGCTGAGCGTTGTGAGCCTGCGTCTCGCCCTGCGTCGCCTGTCCGTGCTGCTCGCACTAGTGGTCGTGGTTCGCGTCAGCGTCCTCCTCCTGTCCCTGGCACGCACCGGATGTCTCTGCGTCCGTCCACTGCTCCTCTGCGTGCCCCTTTGCCTTCTCCTCCTGAGTCTTCTCTTCCTGCTCTTGCCGACCCGTAGTCGGACTCTCTTTGTGCTGCCAGTCCTACTGTCATGCGTCTCCTTGCTACTCCTGTCAATGACCCTTCCTTTGAGTCCACTGCTGCGTCTGCCCTAGTTGTTGAGCTCGTCGACTTTGCTGCTCGCTGTCGCCTAGACTACGCTGCCAGTCTTGTTGCTGAGTCCGAGTCTGTCTGTCCTCCGTCCGTCGGGGGTGAGTGTGCCCTTTGCACGGACGTCCTTGAGGACAGGCAGGAGGAGTTCCAGTGTTTGGCTGCTGCTTCACCTCATCTCGTGTCCGTACTGCTTACCCCTGAGGGAAACCCGGATGCACTTGACATCCCGACTCCGCGCTCCTACGCGGAGGCGATAGAGGGTCCCTACTCCTCTCAGTGGCAGGCAGCTATGGACGCAGAGATGGCTTCCTGGAAGTCCACAGGCACCTACGTTGACGCCGTTCCCCCTCCTGGGGCGAACATCGTCAGTGGCATGTGGATTTTCAGGGTGAAGCGGCCGCCGTGTTCTCCGCCTGTCTTCAAGGCGCGTTACGTGGCTCGTGGCTTCAGTCAGCGGCAGGGAGTTGACTACTTTCAGACCTTCTCTCCCACCCCGAAGATGACCACTCTTCGCGTACTGCTGCACGTAGCTGCTCACCGTGACTACGAGCTACACTCTCTTGACTTCAGCACAGCTTTCTTGCAGGGCAGCCTGCACGAGGAGATCTGGCTGCGCCGCCCACTTGGCTTCACTGGGACTTTCCCTCCTGGCACCCAGTGGAGCCTCCGGCGGCTAGTCTACGGTCTCCGCCAGGCACCGCATGAGTGGCACCACACACTGAGGACTACACTTGCGGCTCTTGGGTTTGCTCCCTCTACTGCCGACCCGTCGCTGTTTCTGCGCACCGACACTTCTTTGCCGCTGTTCTACATCCTCGTGTACGTCGACGACTTGGTCTTTGCCACAGCTGACACTGCTGGACTCGCCCACGTGAAGTCCGAGCTGCAGAAGAGACACACTTGCACTGACCTGGGTGAACTGCACAGCTACCTTGGCTTGCAGATCACCCGGGACAGAGCACGCCGCACCATTACCCTGACTCAGTCACACATGGTGCAGCAGGTCCTTCAGCGCTTCGGCTTCATGTACTCCTCGCCTCAGCCGACTCCTCTGCCTACTCGCCACTCGCTCTCAGCTCTGCCTTCGGATGAGTCCGTAGAGTCGAGTGGCCCATACCCAGAGCTTGTTGGCTGCCTCATGTACCTGATGACCTGCACACGACCTGACCTTGCATACCCTCTTATCATTCTCGCACGCTATGTTGCACCTGGGAGACACAGACCAGAGCACATGGCTGCAGCGAAGAGGGTGTTGCGCTACTTGTGCAGTACGTCGGGCATGGGGCTTGTGCTTGGAGGGCAGAGTCAAGTGGTCCTCATTGGGCACGCAGACGCTTCTTGGGCTGACGACCAGGCTACTCAGCGGTCGTCACAGGGTTACACCTTCAGCCTTGGTTCCGGCTCTGTTTCATGGCGGGCTACCCGCTCGTCCTCTGTTCTCGGCTCTAGTTGTGAGGCTGAGATCTACGCAGGAGCCATGGCTGCACAGGAGCTTCGCTGGCTCACCTACCTGCTGACTGACCTCGGAGAGCCGCCTCGTTCTCCTCCAGTGCTGTACGTAGACAACAAGGCCATGCTGGCCTTGTGTCGGGAGCAGCGAATGGAGCACAGAACGAAGCACATTGCTCTCCGCTACTTCCTTGCTCGTCAGTTGCAGCAGCGTGGTCAGCTGCACCTTGCGTACGTGGCCTCTGAGGCCAACACTGCTGATATCTTCACCAAGGCGCTTGCGCCTTGTGATCATCAGCGCTTCTGTACCCAACTGGGTCTTGTGCCTGCCTTGCCTCACTTGCTTACCTCTTGACCTTGTTTGTACTGTTACATATATATATGCAAGGGATGCATATGCAATAACAGTAGAGTGCGGTGCTGTGAAGTAGTATAGCAAATAGCTAAGAATGCATTGAGGTAGATAGATAAGAAGTAGTGTAGGAGGTGTAGCCAGTAGCGAAGTGTCGGTTGCAAAGGGGTGCAGAAAGGGGGAAACATGTGGGAGCGGTTGGGATGAAGGGGGAAAAGCACCGAAGGGCGAAATGTGGGATTCGAACAAATCCCAACCTCGAGCCGCACATTGGAAATGTGCAAACCGAGGTTGGGTAAGGTCACCCACGCCCACTCACTCGATGCCTATTGTTCAGTATTCTTTCATACTAGTGCAGGGCTGTTATCCTAGCTACTACACGCGGTGGCACAGCACTAAGAAGGAACCGGTGGGGTGAGGGAGTGATCTCGTTCATACTGAACAATTGGACACGACACGCAGTCATGGATAAATATGAGCTACGTTGGGGTAGGGTGTTTAGTCGCCGGGAGGAGGAACGAGCACGAGGTGAGCCGTCACGCGAGCGCGGGCGATCTCTGGAGCGCTTGCCGCGAAGGCCGGCATTTCGCGCCGATAGAGTTCCCGTCGCTGGGGACCGACGGGCGGAAGGGAGGCCTAGTGTGGCAGCGGGTGGAGAAGGATACGCCGCAAGCGCGGACGGAGACGTGTGGCGAAGAGGGCATGATCGCGGAGATGGATACGGGAGCGGAGACCGACGCGCTGTGGGAGTGTTCCGCTCGCCGGAAGAGCGCGGGCGCCGCCGTGATGAGAGGGGCCGTCGGCAGGGCGTCGAGCGATTCGACGCCGACCAAGGAGGGGAGGCCGCAGAAAAGGAAGAAGCGTGGGAGACGTCCGGCGAGGAAGAGGCAGAGGAGGACGCAGCGAACCTGGAACGGGCGGTCGAAGACGCCAACGGAAAAGATGACGGCGAGGAACCCGCGGCTGGGATCGGAAGCGCCGAGCCTGAAGAGGCGGACGTTGCCGGGGGCGCAAGCCAGGCAGGGGCGGAAGGATCGCGGTCGGGACGGTCGGAATCACGCGGCCGCGACGCAAGCCGCCAGGAGGAGCATTACGCGGAGAGGTCGCGTCAGCAGGAGCGGCGGGACTGGGGCGTGCATGCCGGCGCTGTGGGGACGCAAGGAGAACGCGGCAAAAGGGAGGAAGACGGACCGCGCGCGTCAGGGGAAGGATCGCGGCGCTGGGAGCGGCCTTCTGTTAACCCTCGCGCACTCGACTGGCGCCAGGCACAAGGGGGCTGGGGCGAAGACGGCGCACGATCGCCGGACAGGCAGCTGATGCACAAGGGAGGATGGGAGGGCGAGCCACGCGCAGCCAGCCACCACTGGCGGCGGGAAGAAGGACGCGAGGAGGGGCCCAGCTCATCAGAGAGGCGCGGCCAGCGGCAAGAGGGGCGCGGCGGGGAGGCACGGACGTCTGGCCCGCAAGCGCAATGGGAGAGGAGGGTGAGCGGCGGATTCCGCTCGCCTCTCATCCGGCAGCAGCGGGGAAGAGAAGGCGGCGGAGACAGGCGCTCGCCCGGAGATCGTCGGCAGCAAGGAAGGGGAGAAGCATGGGAACCGTCGCCAGAGAGGCAGCGGCAGCGAGAGACGAGCACGGCGAGGTGGAGAGAGACACGAGTCTCGCCGGCACGAACGCGAGGGCGGGCGGGGGAGGAGAGGGGCCCGAGAGAAAGGCACGGTGACTCGGGCTGGAACCGGCGGGAGAGCAGAGCTGGAGGGGGGAGCTTAGCATATGGCGCTGAGCGGGCCCGAGAGGCCAGGGAAGGCATGGAGAGGGCCAAGGAGAGAAGGACTGGGGAAGAGCGGCTGGGAGGGGCCAGGGAATCGTGGGGAGAAGGGCGGGGAAGTATAGCCACCGCGACGCGGGTGGAAGTGCCGGCGAGGTTCTCGGGGGACCAACGGGTGGGGCCGGCCCTCAAGAATTACTTGATGCAGGTGGGGAACGTGAGATACCGCTGTGACAGGCAAGGCATGGACCCAGTAGACTTCTTCTTGAGCCTGCCCAACACACTGGAGGGAGAGGCGGAGACCCTGTACCGCATGAGGATGGACGAGCTGCTGTGGAGGGCAGGGAGGTACGGGGAGGATCCCACCGAGGCATTTCTGGAGCGGCTTCAGCGTCAATTCCCGGGACACACGGCGGAGCGCATAAGGGAGTTTCAGGAGTTCAGGAGGGGACGAACAGAATCCCTACTGACCTACTACAACCGACTGATAAACTTGGCGGAGGATGTGAAATGTTCGGACAGCAGCCTCCTCATCAGTAAGTTTCTTGGAGGCCTGGACGAAACACTGGGGGGGGGACTGAGGATGAGGGTGTACGAGTTGGGGGCGGATGCGGCACTAGAGGAGGTGTTTGACCTGGCGGAAAGGGTGGAGCTGGCACAAAGGAGGTATGAGGCCTACCTGCCGAGGCCGACAGAGAGGAGCCGCAGACCGACATGGGCGGCGGCTATGATACCAGAGGAGCGAGGGAGGGTGGACCCACACGGGGAAGAGAGAGCCGATGCGCGCACCTGCTACCGGTGTGGACAGATGGGGCACCTCCGCAGAGAGTGCAAAAACTGTGATGGATGTGGGAAGCCTGGGCACCGGAAACGAGAATGTCCGGATGCGGCGAAGTGTGAAATCTGCGGGAAGAAGGGGCACGAGGCCAAGGAGTGTTACCAGCGGGAGGGAGGGGCAAGGAGGAAACCAGAGGAGCTGCAGCGGCAGATCAGCAGGCTGCAGTCTCAACTGCAGGCCATGGGGTCAGGGTGGGGAGCGGAGGCGGGGATGTACGCTAGGGACGAGGAGGGAGAAGGGGTGGAGCCGGACGTGCAGTGTGCCCTCATGGCCTGGAGAGGCAGGGAACAGATGGGGCTGCGTAGCGGGGGGAAGGATGGCAGGCAGGAGCATAGCCGAAAGCCACGTGAGCAGGGGTCCAGGCCGGACGCGCCAGGAGGAGAGAAGACCCCAGCCCGCCACCCGCAGGAAAGACTCGCGTGCCAGACCTCGGTGCTGCTCGTGGAAGCAGGAGCGGTGGAAGTGGGGGGGATGAAGGTAAAGACGGCGATCATTGACACAGGAGCACAGAGCGTGATGCTGGGGTAAGGGGATGGCCGAACGGTTGGGGCTGATGGCCCCTGAGAGGCACGTGGCGAAGGGGATGTTAGTCATGACAGCCGAGGGAGGGGAACCAAAGTGGATGCCGTGCACACGGACCCCCATAGAGTTGACACTGCTGCCAGGAGGGGAGCATGAAACAAGGATCAGGATGAAGTGTGGAATCTCGGAGTCCGAGGACTTTGATCTGCTGATGGGGACGGAATTGGTGTTCGCTGTAGGCATGAGCATATGTACCTGGATGGAGAAGGTGGAGTTCCGAACGAGATACTGGAAGAAGGAGGGACCATTGGGGCAGCTGCCAGTGCAGTTTGTAAGGGTGGAGCCGAAGCGGGCCTATCAGGTCGGAGCAGGAGGGGCACAAAGGGGGCAGAGAGGAGCAGCAGAGACCAAGGAGGGGCCCAGGATGAAACTGATGGACAAGCCGGGGCAGCATAGCGATTGGCAGCAGCCCATCCGGCTAGTAGAGTTGTTCGGAGGAATCGGGGCAGGGCTGGCGGCAGCAGTGAGGAGTGGGATTGCAGTGCAGCAGTGGGTCTATGTGGAATTGGCACCACATGTGACGGGACGGACTCCCGCGCCGGGACGGACTCCCGCGCCAGTTTGTCAAAGAAGTTACAGCAGGCACTACCCGTGCAACCAGGTGGGGCAGGACAGGAGGGCTCTGCCCACCTTGGTCGCTTTTGCAGAGGCAGCAGGCTACAGGTGGGAAAAGGGGGAGCCCGGACCCGGGCTGATATATGACCACAAGCGGGGACGGTGGGAGGAACCGACGGCATTAGAGAGGGAGCTGGCTATGGGATATGGAGAAAACGTGACGGCAGCACCAGGGGTGAGCGAGGAAGACAGGAGGAGGGCAATGGGGAATGCCATGGATGGCTACATGATGAGGTGGCTGGTGCAGAGGATGTGGCGAGAGATGGTCTTGGGTGGGGGGCAAGAGGCAGATAAGGTGGCGGCAGCAGCAGCCCCACAAGGAGCATGGACCTGCCAGGAGGAGGAGGGAGGGAAGTGGACAGTGGGGGAAGCGATGAGTGAAGAGGGAAGGGAAGCTATGCTGGGACTGCTGGCCAAGCATAGGAAGTGCTTTGCCTTCACACTGCAAGAACTGGGAAGGTGCAAAATGAAGGAGATGGAGCTGAAACTGAGCAGCACAGAGCCGGTGTTCCAACGGCGTAGGAAGATGCCGCACGGAGATGAAGAGATATGCAAGGAGAAGATTAAGGAGCTGCTAGCGGCCGGACTGATCCGGCGCTCAGAATCAGAATACGCCACACCAACAGTGGTGGCAGCAAGGAAGGACTTAACAGGGGAGATCCTGAGCAGGAGGATGTGCGGAGATTACCGAGCGCTCAACAAGATTACCGTGGCGGACAGGTACCCAATGCCGATGGCGGAGGAGATATTTGACAAGTTAGCAGAGGGGGTGTTCTTCACGACGCTGGACCTGCGGCAGGGGTTCAATCAGATAAAAATCAGGGAGGAGGACGTTAGGAAGACGGCATTTCACGGGCCGGATGGGCTGTACGAGTGGCTTTACATGTCATTCGGGCTGAGGAACGCATCAGCAGTGTTTCAGAGAGTCATGGATGCAGTGCTGAGGGACGTAGAATGTGCAGCGTGCTACATAGATGACGTGGTGATCTTCAGCACCTCCGAACAGCAGCACCTGCAGGATGTGGAGAAGACACTGGCAGCAATAGAAGCAGCGGGACTCACGTGTCACCCGAAGAAGTGTAGGTGGGGTGAGCAGACCGTTCAGTATCTGGGCTACGAGGTGACAGGGGGGCAGATCGGGATCCAGCAAGCAAAGGTGGAGGTGCTGGATAGGCTGCGAGAACCAAAGGACAAGACAGGGCTGAGAGCGGTGTTGGGGTTTCTGAGTTACTACCGGCGATTTGTGCCCAATTTCAGCAGGCGGGCAGCGGTGTTGAACGGACTGTTAAGGGAGGACAAGACATGGGAGTGGGGGGAAGCGCAGAAGGGGGCATTGCAGGATCTGATGGCGGCGGTGAAAACAGCAACCGTCTTGCAGCTGCCAGCAGCGGACCAACCCTTCACCCTCTACACCGACTGGAGCAGCCAAGGGATGGGCGGGATACTCTGCCAGGAGGTGGAAGGGGATGAGAAGGTGGTGGCCTACGCGAGTAGGAGCTGCAACTCGGCGGAGGCACAGTACAGCTCGTACACAAGGGAGGGACTGGCGGCAGTATGGGCTGTGGGGCACTTCAGGGTCTACTTGCAGGGGCGGGAGTTCACCCTGGTGACGGACCACCAGCCACTGACATGGCTGATGACTACACCAGGGTTAACAGGCAGGAATGCACGATGGGCAATGAAGCTGCAGGAGTATGACTTCAAAATCAAGCACAGGCCAGGAAAAACCTTGCAGCATGTGGACGGCCTCTCCCGTAACCCCCCACCGCTAGAGCCAACAGTGACCCTTGCGCTGCTGGCCAGACAGGTGGAGCTGAGCGGGGCAAGGAGGAGCAAGGGGCCGGCTGATATCTGGGAGGATGAGCAGGCTGTGAGATGGGTGAAGGGAGAGACAGGGGCAGACGAGGAGATGAGCGAGAGGGTGAGAGCAAGGGGGCACCACTACATGTGGTACCAGCAGCAGTTGCAGATACAGACCGAGGGTGGGTGGAAGCTGGTGCCGGCCCCAGGTGACAGGGAAGCAGTGATAAAGGAGGTGCACTCAAAGCTGGGGCACTTCGGGCATGAGAGGACAGTGCAGTTGTTGAAGACGGGCTGGTGGTGGGAGGGAATGCGCAGGCAGGTGCAGAAGTGGGTGGAGGGATGTGAGGCCTGCCAAAGGAGCCGAGCAAACCTGACCCAAGCCAAGGCCGAGCTGCAGTCCCTGCCCATCCGCGGGTTAGGCTTCAGATGGTCCTTGGACCTGGCGGGGGAACTGCCGCTGAGCCGGGGGGGGAAACGGTACATAGTGCTCATGGTGGAGCACGTGAGCAAGTGGCTGGAGGTGAGGGCTATCCCCAGCAAGAGCTCAAGACATGTGGCAGCAGCATTCAAGGAGCAAGTAATATGCAGATTTGGGGCGTGTGCAGAGGTGCTCACCGATCAAGGCACCGAGTTTCAAAGGGAGTTCAGGGAGCTGTTAGAGGAAGCGGGAATCACCCACAGGCGCACCTCTCGGTATCACCCACAGAGTGATGGGCTGACCGAGCGCCTAGTGCAGACGTTGAAGCGAGGGCTACGGGCATATGGGGAGAAAAGGAAGCGGGCAGGATATAGGTTTGGGAAGCAGGCAGCCCTGAGAGACCATTCACCCTACAGCCTTCTGTTTGGTTGTGAGCCAGTGCTACCTGTGGGGGCACCACGGGTCCTCACAGACACAGTGACAGCAGGCACCATAGACAACTGGGTGGCCTTGTCAGAGGCCAGAGCAAGGTACCTCCGAGTGATAATGCCAGCAGCGCTAGAAAACCTACACACGGCACAGCTGAGAGACGCCAGACGTTATGAGCAACGCCAGCAGCAGGGGATGTTGGGAAGGAGAGAGAAAAAGGGAGCAAGTGAGGGGCAGGAGGTGTACCTGAAAAGGGCAAAACAGGACACGCTGGACGTCGGGGTGGGGACCGAGAGGTGGAGAGTGAAGGAAGTTCGGCCCTCGGGTATTCTCGTGCTGGAGAACGAAAAGGGGGCACAGCTGAAGGAGCACCAGACCAACACGGCCCTGGTGAGGGGGAGCAAGCCTCAGCAAGCTGGTCCTGTGACACGAGCTCGAGCTACCCAAGCACGGGCACAGGAGGGGGCAGTGAGTGACTGAGGCAGGGCAGCACAGAGCAGGGAGTGTTGAAGAAGAACAACAGGAAGAAGAGCAAGTGCTGGTGAGGGTCACACACTCCGACAGCTGTCACC